AGGCTTGTCAAAGAATACTCACTGTTAGCCAGAAGTGGCTGATTAAAGAATACTAGCGTTGATGAGTGAAGTCAACGGGTCAGGAGTTGGTCGAGAATACTCACTGGGAGCCAGAAGTCACTAGTGCAAAAGTAAGAATTTACGTCTGTATTTTCTCGTCGGACCTAAACATATCCAACGTAGAAAAGACGCGGTGACATTTTTGAAAATAATGCAAACTATTTTATGTCGGACTACATAGGTCCGACGTAAATTTAACAATCTACGTCAGACATCAGCTACATCTGACTTAGATTATTGAATTTATGTCAGACCCTATGTAGTCTGACGTAAAAGAGTTTTTTATATCCACTAGCCACGAAGCTGACGCTTGGGAGCACTCCAATTTCCCCATCATCTGCGAATCCTGCCTCGACGACAACCCCTATGTTCGAATGGTTCCTTTCCTATCTTCTTCGCTCCTTTACCTTTTCTATTTTCTTTATTCACAATGTTTATCTTTGGCAACTCCTCGGCGATTGCATGGTATCATAATGATTATCTTTGGGTGCAGACAAGAGCAGAGTATGACAAGGAGTGCAAAATTTGTACAAGGCCTTTCACTGTTTTTAGATGGAGACCTGGTCGAGATGCAAGATATAAGAAAACTCAGATTTGCCAAACATGTAGTAAATTGAAAAATGTCTGTCAAGTGTGCCTTCTGGATCTTGAATATGGACTACCAGTTCAAGTTAGGGACACGGCTCTCAGTATCGATTCCAATGATAGTAGTTGTACACAACATAGAAACGTCAGTAACACCCTTCTACAACCAGAACGAGCAGTTCTCCTTGCAGAATGGGCCATTCTGCAACCAGAACGGCCCGTTCTGCAAGGAGAACGACCCATTCTGCAAGGAGAACGGGTCGTTCTAGTGTAATTATTTTTTGGGTTTTACAACTTTTTTACGTCGGTGTTCAAAAAACTCCGACGTAAATTTACGTCGGTCTTAAAAGCCAACGTAAATTTACGTCCCCCGCATTAACGTCAGATGTTTTTATGACGTAAAAACCTTAAAATAACAGACATAAAAAGCCTCTTTCGCACTAGTGAGTGGCTGAGTAAAGAATACTAGCAGAAGCATGGATTACGCTGCAGGAGGAGTTCAAAGGAAGTGAAAAGGTACGTGCCGTAAAATTACAAACTCTACGGCGTAACTTTGAATTGTTAAATATGAAGGAATCTGAGACCGTAAAGGACTACTATTCTAAGATAAAAGAAATGGTTAACCAAATGAGAGCGTATGGGGAAAATATTTTTGACAAGAAAATTGTGGAGAAAATTCTAATTAGTGTTCCCGCGCACTAGTGAGTGGCTGAGTAAAGAATACTAGCATTGATGATGAAGTCAACGGGCCAAGAGTTGGTTGATAATACTCACTAAGAGCCAGAAGTGGCTGAGTAAAGAATACTAGCGTCTGCGAGTGAAGCTGACGATCCAGAAGTGGTTGAGAATACTTGGGACCAGGAGTGGTCGTGACCTGGGTGGTCTATAATACTCACTGCGAGTCTGAAGAGGCTGAACAAATAATGCTTGTACCTCATTGATTATCTAGTGAAACCCTTCATTTGAAGGAGACTGGACGTTGCTCTGTTTGAGCGAATCAATATAAAAATACTTTCTTTGATTTCTTATTAGAAGAATTGAAATTTTGATTGTGGAAGAAGAGGGAAAATTTTTTATGGATATACTCTGTCAATTGTATTATATAGAATTTTAGATTATTTTAGAAATGCATACAAATCATGGCAACTTCTATAATCACTCAAACACTCTCAACGTAAAATGCGTGATCAAAGAGAAGAGAAGAAGAAGAAGAAAAAAAGCACGCAAAAGCAAAAACATGCATGTGTTAGAAAAAGTACATCACTTTTTCAAATAAGGACAACACTCTACACCTATGTGACAAAAAAAAAGGACAAAAAAGTTCCTAGGTCTCTGCTAAAGTTAGACACAACTGCTAATAAGGCAAAGAAGATTTCACGCAAGGTCTATAAATGGGAAGTAACATTTAATGCAAGATCTTGAGCATTAAATGAAAGATCAAACCAGTCATGAACGACTGTATCTGCTTCAACAAACACTTGCAATAGGCAAATTTCACAAGACAATATATATATTACTATCTCAAGCCTTAAAAGGTTGGGGCTTTTTTTTGGCTAGTCCTTGGCTTTGCATTCTTAACCAAGTGATATCAAGCCCACTATGCAACGAAACCAGAGATAGAGCGTATAGAGTCAAGTGTACCACAATGTATCTATCTCTGTAAACTAAGGAGTTCCAAGCATGTGCATCTTAGGAACAAAACCTTAGTGAGTGTACTAATTTATGTATCCTCTTTGTGAGAGTAGACCAAACACTCGATCATTGTAAAGACTAAGGTTGCATACCTTAGTGAGTGTATAATCTTATGTATCCTCTCTATGAGAGTAACCCAAACACTCAAACCAAACCTGTGTAGTTAATATATGTAAAGCCTGAAGAGGCTAGGGAAAGAATACTTGTAAAGCCTAGAGAGGCTTGTCAAAGAATACTCACTGTTAGCCAGAAGTGGCTGATTAAAGAATACTAGCGTTGATGAGTGAAGTCAACGGGTCAGGAGTTGGTCGAGAATACTCACTGGGAGCCAGAAGTCACTAGTGCAAAAGTAAGAATTTACGTCTGTATTTTCTCGTCGGACCTAAACATATCCAACGTAGAAAAGACGCGGTGACATTTTTGAAAATAATGCAAACTATTTTATGTCGGACTACATAGGTCCGACGTAAATTTAACAATCTACGTCAGACATCAGCTACATCTGACTTAGATTATTGAATTTATGTCAGACCCTATGTAGTCTGACGTAAAAGAGTTTTTTATATCCACTAGCCACGAAGCTGACGCTTGGGAGCACTCCAATTTCCCCATCATCTGCGAATCCTGCCTCGACGACAACCCCTATGTTCGAATGGTTCCTTTCCTATCTTCTTCGCTCCTTTACCTTTTCTATTTTCTTTATTCACAATGTTTATCTTTGGCAACTCCTCGGCGATTGCATGGTATCATAATGTTTATCTTTGGCTGCAGACAAGAGCAGAGTATGACAAGGAGTGCAAAATTTGTACAAGGCCTTTCACTGGTTTTAGATGGAGACCTGGTCGAGATGCAAGATATAAGAAAACTCAGATTTGCCAAACATGTAGTAAATTGAAAAATGTCTGTCAAGTCGGTGTAACTTTTACTAAGTATTATGCCGCTCTATAACTTTATATTAAATGTGAATTTTGTAAATCCAACCGTTAAATTGAAAGTTCATATCACTTTATACGTGTATATCAAATTTTGTTAAAATTGAACAACAACTGGAAGATAATCCAAGAGTTCATATTTTAGTGTATTTTGAAATGATTATATTACATCAATTTTATTTTATAAAAATGAAGTATCAAATAATCTTGTATTAATATAAAATTTTGTATATATGATCTAAGAGATATGAACTTTCAATCTAACGATTGGATTTACAAAATTCGCATTTAATATAAAGTTATTGAGCAGTGTAACAATTAGTAAAAGTTACACCAGTATTATTATAACATCCCTTATATATATATGTGTGTGTGTGTGTGTAATGACCTACCTTATCATTATATTGTACGACATTAAATGACAAAGGAGAAGCTACTGAAAGATGATGGAGCACCAGATGCTGATGCATCTCGCTACAAAAGTTTGATTGGAAGCTTACTATATTTAACAGCCACACGACCAGATATAATGTATGTTGTAACCCTTTTATCAAGGTTTATGCAAAAACCAAGCCAAATTCACTTTGGAGCAGCTAAAAGAATTCTAAGATACCTACAAGGCACGAAGGAGTTTGGTATTTGGTACAAAACAATGACCAACTCAAGCTTGCTCGGATACACCGACAGTGATTGGGCAGGATCAGTAGATGACATGAAGAGCACCTCTAGTTATGCCTTTTCACTTGGATAAGGAATATTTTCTTGGGCATCAAAAAAGCAAGCAACAGTTGCACAATCAACCGCAGAGGCAGAATATGTTGCAGCTGCTGAAACTATAAGTCAAGCAATTTGGCTATGAAGAATACTTGCAGAAATGGGAGAACAACAAGATGGGCCTACTACAATTTATTGCGATAATAAATCAGCAATAGCAATGACAAAAAATCCAGTACATCATAGCAGGACAAAACACATTGCAATTAAATATCACTTCATCAGAGAAGCAGAAACAACTAAAGAAATCAAGATGGAGTATTGTAAGACCGAAGAGCAAGTTGCTGACATATTCACAAAGGCACTGCCGAGAGCAAGATACAAACAGTTTCGCACTATGATAGGAGTTAGAGAAATTTGTATCAAGGAAGAGTGTTAAAATGTGATACAAACTTCTAGAATAATCTAGACTCTTATAGAAAAATACATAGGTATGCTAGTAACTACTAGATCATACAAAACTCTAGAATTATGTAGATAATTACATATAGATAGAAAACTCTAGAATAGATATTTCTAGAGTTTTCTACATAAAACATGAATGATGTGTTGAGGCCTATAAATAGGTCATGTACTCAACATTTGTACAAAGCAACTAGTAAGTCATTTCTACTACTCAAATTTATTCCAACTATTCCTCTAAACTAGTTTTCCTCTCAACTAAGCCTATCATTATAAATTTGCCTCCCCATTCCTTCTACCAATCAAATAAGCTTTTGCTATTTGATAATTCATAAACTAACACACGTAATATTTTGGCGTTATAATATTTGGCACCACTAAGGTATCATTTCCTTGTCCAAAAACACATGGTAGTTTGACTTACTCAGACACGTGGGAAGCTCATCCCAGTACTATTAAATTTGCAATTTGTTAATGTCAATTAGTTGTCACCATATCCATTTCATATTACGCTACCCAAAGTTTAAATAATTTGCCCTTATAATATAGTTAAATATCATCGCATCTCATAAAAAGTCGTCGCATCTGACAACAAAAAAAGATTTTGGTTCGATTTGAATCTGTACAGTTTGAAATTTGATTCAACGTAACACCATGGAAGTGTGAAAACTAAAGTTGTGAAAATATTGTGATTTAGCTGATCTGTTAATGTAATTAAACAATAATGTTAGTGATATTGTTTATGAGAATGTGGTTATACATGTAAGTATTATATGTCAATATATTAGAGATAAGAATATAAGTTAAACTTTAAATAAAAGATTTATGATTTCATCTAATTAAAATTTGTCTGATATGATATATTTAATAAAAAAAGTTAGATTTAGACTTATAAACATATTTAATAAATTAACTTATTTATTTGTATGATATCATAAAAATAATAATATACATTTTAAAGTATTAACAATATTATTAAATAAATAAATTTGAAATATAAAAAATTAAATTATCAATATATTTTTATATTTTCATTATTTATAAATATTTTATATTTTTTTGTTCATACGAAATTAAAAAATAAAAAATCT